GGTTTGGGGTCGGCGACAACAGAAGTTGCACCGTCCAAACGCCCAGCCACAACATCCGAACCTACAACCACCACCCCACGTCCCTTGCTGGGGCTCTACAGCAACGTCTTTGGCCTCGGCTTCGGCTTCCGCAGCTTGGGGTTGGCTACGTTGTTTTGGCTGTATAGCATCGGTTGCTTCACTTGGTTTCACTTCATCTTTAGCTGCATGCGTGAATTATATGTTATACACTTCAGACCATGGATTAAACATTTAAACATTCAATTTATACACGTGAATTAAGTGTAAAATAAGTGAAATTATTATTATAGAGTTGTATATACCATGTGTGGCATCGTTGGATGTGTCCGCAAAAACAGCGAGGGAGAGGGAAAGGAGCAAAGCCAAGAGAGCGAGAGACTTGAGGCTTCCCATTTTTTGTTTGGTACAAAACAGTTTTGCTTCGGTTTTTTGTGAGGAAAGATGGTTTTGGTAGTGAAGAGTGAATGGGCACACAACACATCTATTTATAGTTGGATAGCAAAACATGGGGACAAGAGACCAGTCAACTATGTCGAGTGAGGGAAGATAATGACAAATTTTACGCTTTATATAATATGTAAAAAATATATCAATAACAACATTCGTTCTGATTGATTCCCTTGATTATTTAGTCTCGGCATACGTAATGATCATATTAGAAAAATTATGTAAACTAAGATAATAGTAGGTGTATGTATCAATGTATGTGATCGAGAGGAATCGCAGAAGCTTTGATGCTTAAGTTTTCTAAGCTCAATTTCTAGTTTTTGCACCCACTATTTCCAGTGGACAAGGGTTCGATACACCCTGAATTGTTTGTTTTATTGTTGCTTATAGTGATTGCTTTATTTATACTAGATCATGTGTATCCAGTCAAAAATAATTCTAGATATGCCCCTGTCTATATTATCTAATAATATCGAATAGTTAACCTAATCGATTATAAAACCTGCATGAGTACTTGGACCAGAATTTCGAATTAACACAACATTAAAAAACACTACATTTA